ATCTAATTGGATTGTGAAAGTGCCGGAGACTCTTTTTAGCTATTTTTGAGCAAATTAATGGCATCCATACCTTCTCGAAAGGCATTTGCCCTCCCACACGAACACAAATACAATGTTATCCACAGACCATACACTCTGAAGAATAGCCGATTTGCGAATTTCATCTCAGTAGTCAAACACAAAAGAATTGAGACGAGGGGCCGTGCGTAAAGACCAGTGAATCGTGAAAAACTTGTCTTGTTATGAATAACTGAGCTCTATGCATGGCGCCTCGTCTAGATTCCCTTGTGTGTGACGACTACTGAGGCAAAGCTGAGGCAAAAGTCGGCTATTCAAAAACCGTCCAATAACCGACTTTAGATATTTTGGTTCAGTGACCATGCACAATAGAATTGTAGACGAGGCTCCGGGGAACTAAAAGAATAAATCAAGATTATCCATTGTTTTACCCGAGCCTCGTGTACGTTCTTTTGTACATATAGTCATTGAACCAAAATATCTAAAGTTGACTATTTCAAAAATCTCTTCCAGTTCCAGCTTTTCATTGGGATGTAATGTTTAAAGTCCGACAATGAGGACTGGACGGGATTTCAAGTCCGCGCAATTAGTTCCAGTCCGAATTGGAGGACTTGGAACGACTCCTCATACTCATTAATTATTCGGGAGGGAAAAAAAGCGAAGGAAATACATAAAACAGAAATATATTGATTTATTGCATCTCCACTAAGGTTTTCAGTTTTCATAATTTTGAATACATGAAGCACCGTTTGTTGTTCTTCAATTCCCGGACGGCTTTCTGAAACAAAAGCTATTCAAATTGTCTTTGTCTGCTAGTCATGGCATTCCTAATGAGCCTAATCCATAAGATTTATAAGTATGTTATCTTCCGAGGAATCGCATCAGAAACTCGGTGGTGTAATGGTATAAGACAGCGCATATAGACTGGACGGTAGGGGATCGAGTCGTGAGGGAGTCATGTATCAAAGACCTTTTTTCACTAAATTAAGGTTAAACTGATTATTTCCAATAATTTGATTATCATTAGCTAGTAGTAGTTGGAAACATGGTAGAAGTAACTGGAAATAAGGTAGAAATAGCTGGAAATAATGTAGAAGTAACTTGAAAAAGGTAGAAGTAACTGGAAATAAGGTAGAATACAAGGTAGGAGTACTTCCTCTGGTTTCAAGTTACTTCACGTGGTACAAATTACAATCAGGGATTGGCTGAATACCTCATGAATAATTAATGAGTTTTTGAAATTCAGATAAAATACTGATGTTTTATTGATCAGTTCTATATCAGATGTCTTGAACTAATTTATAATTCATGATCTTATAATTCAATGAGGATTGGATTATTGGGTCACATGATAGTCCTCTCAGATGTTTAATTAATCAGTTCTATAATAGATTTCTAGAACTTATTAATAATTAAGATCTCTTAGTCCAATGAGGCTTTTTGGACTAATGGGTCACATGATGGACCTCTCAGAGTACCTGATAAAATATTGGTGTTTTAATAATTAATCAGTTCTATATCAAATTTTTATAGAACTCATTAATRATTCATGACTTCTTAGTCCAATGAGTATTGGACTATTGGGTCACATGGTAGATCTCTAAGATCCTGATAAAATACTGATCATTTGTTGAACATTTTTCTATCAGATATATAGAAATAATGTTCAATACATCATTGCTTCATCACGAGTTCGTGTGTCTAGTTAGAGTTTAAAWAAGCATTTTTCATTTTCATATTATATTTCATTATTTATGTACCTATTTTTTTCAGATTTGACTCCCTGGCGAGATTGCATTGCATGATAAAATTTGTAAAGCTGAGGCACGGAATCGACATAGAGCGAATAAGAGAGTAGCAATCGTAATRAGCGGTTGGACGKGCAATTCCTACARGTGTCTCTACTTAATCTAWWWT